TCATTGCACAAACTTTTTACTACATATTAATTTACTAATGTTATTATTAATGATAGGATATATTTACATGCTTGTTCTTACATCTGCCAAATTGGTAGTTGGCAAAAAAAATCATCTTAAGAATTACAAAAATGTGATTTTTTTGTAGCAGTAGTTACATACTAAGGAACTCTCAATTCATTAAGGTAATAATTACCTAGAGGTATGGAGATTTTAATGAATTAAAAGAAGAGTGACTTTTTATAATTAGAATGAAATTGTTTAAGAATAATTTGTAAGAAAACATCAAAATCAAATATATTGCAAGATTTCAGAAGGGAAGATAACATAACATAAGTTTTCCTTAGGAAATATTTTTAAATTAAATAAGACTAGTAGCATAAAAAATGTCCTTATTATTTCCTTCTCACTAAGTTACTTCTGAGAGCAGTTTGTTTGTCATTCGTGAACAAATGGGGCCCGTAAACTGGTAACAATCCCGCCTGTGTACAAGATTTACAGCAGAATCGGGCATAATATTTGTGGGAACAATACTTCGCCCTCACGATCAGCTGGCAATTGGCAAAGAACTGATTATCGGTACAGTTTGGATGTAAATTCAAACCTAGAGGGAATATTACATTACAATCAGTTAAGAAAGTATTTTCAGTAATTAATTCTCTATTTAATTTATCAAATTGTTAGCCTTAAAATATGTTCTTATTTACCTTCAACGGTGATCTTCAGAGTGCTTCGTGATCGTGAAAACTGATTCACTGCTTCGCATGCATAATCACCAGTATCATTCTGGTCTATTCCTCGTATATAAAGAACGTGGTTATCTAGACAAATAATAATGTTTCGGTTAAAATAAAATCTTAGAAAAACGATAAAGATCGGGGGCAAAACCAGGAGGGGGGAGGTACGCAAGGAGTGGTCTAACGATAAGATTTGATCCTCTTTAATGTAGCGCACAAACTCTCGCGAAATTCAATAATCCGAAATATTAAACCCAAACGATTTAAACCACGCAACTGTACAACTTATGTATTAATCCCTTAACCCCTTGACCTAAACCATAAATACCTACCACCTTAAGTCTGTAAGCTTAACTTGTAATACATGATTCTATAACGTAAGCATTTTAACCACTATAGCCCGGGGGTGCTGTTCAACGTGATTTAAACCTCGCAACCCTACAACCTAAGTATTTTAAATTCTTTAACCCCTTGACCTAAACCATAAATACCTATCACCTTAATAAACTTGTTAATCCCCATGATCCTATAGCGTAAGCTTTTTAACCACCATAATCCGGGAGGGGGAAAGCTATTCCACGTAATTTAAACCTCGCAACCCTACAACCTATAGTATTTTGAATTCTTTATCCCCTTGACTTAAACCATAAATACCTACCACTTTCAACTTCTTAATCCCCATGACTCTATAACGTAAGTTTTTTAACGACTACTATCCGGTGGGAGGGGGTTGCTATTCAACGTGATAAAGAAATTTATGTCGCAGTGGTAATTTATATACATATTAATTAATCTAATAGCATTGACTACTGTGCTCCTGGTTATGGGGTTACGTTTACAAAAGTTTTAAAAGTCTAGATTATGATCTTATGTTGGTATTTATGGTTTAGATTAAGAGATTAAGGGGTTTGAAAAGTTTTTTTAAAAATGGTTTTATACCATCTTTATTTCACTATCTCTCCCTTTCCCTCCCTTTTGAATCCTTTTGACCCATTAATTTTTGGGGAATGTACATTTAGATCCCCACTGTATATGTACCTACCGGAAACGTATATGTGCACAGTGTTTTAAAAATTTTGAATTACTTACCGGAAATATAAAGTTTGTCCGTTTGCTGAATGGGCTGACCATCTTTGTACCATTGTACTTGCGGAACAGGGTAACCTTCCACGTTGCAATTTAGGGTAACATCACTTCCTAACGGGAAATGTTGTTTTTCGGATGTGACGTTAGTCCTTACAGGCACTAAATATAAATTCTATTAATTACGAAGAGGCAAAAATTTCATTTAATTTTGGTTTTGCTTTCAACAAATGTTAATGTTAATCAATAGTTTACATGTTTCAACCATAATGTATACCAAAACATTCACAACTAAATATTTAAGGCTACATAAGCAAAATTTACACTACACAGAAAGAGCTAAAAAGCGTTACTTCATGCTTTTTGTTAATTACCCGTGTATCCTTGAGAAGGTTCCATAACAGGTGGAAGTTGGGGTGCTATGTCATTGCCGGTTATATCAGGAGAGGGTTCCTCATAAGGTGGCGGGATGTATGGTTCAGGTGTAGGTATGGGCCTGGGATAATAAACTGGTCTTTGAAATCGAGGTCTTTCGGTGGTAGTCGATGGTTCTGGTGCCGGAATGACATATTTCATGTATTGTTCGTCTTCTGGTCTAGTACTGTAAACGGGCCCTAATGCTTGGACAGTTACCGCCCAGCTGGTTGCTTTGCCTATACCGTTGTAGGCTTGGCACGTGTACACCCCCAGGTTTGAGAGTTGTACTGATTGTATGAGTAAGGAGAAGTCGCCGGTACCGCCAGCGAATTCGTTCGTGTGCATAGGAACCAGGTTATTGTCTTTCCACCAGGTCACGAAGGGAATAGGGTAACCGATAGCGTAACAATTGAGGACCGCTTTTGACCCTAATGCCACCACCACGTCCGACTTCTCATCGTTTATTATGGACGTCGGATGAGCTACACCATCTGTTAGTTTTGTTAGTGTTAGTGACTACAGAAACTTTTAAGAATTAATCTACAGCAATAAAATTTAACAAAACTAAAAGCAGTTTTTTGTGTTTCATCAATCTACATTGCGGTACAATGTGGTTGGTAGGGTGGAAAGTAACAGGCAGTATGCAAGGGAACAACAGAAAAATATGAACTAAGGAAAATAGATGGTCGATGTTCTCTCGAATGCTAAACTAGGATCTAAACATTAGACATCTGCGATGTTAGATATGACAGATATTTGCCAAGACAACAGTGATGTCCGCCGAAAATTTGCAGGCTTGGCGTTCACCATCCGACCCGAATAGGGAAGAGATTGCGATGGGTCGATCAGTTTACTGCACTTGTATGGTCTTGGTGCGTGCAACGACGTTAGTTATTCGTATTTGCGGTGTCGATGTCGAATAGAATCAAAAGAAGTCATGAGAAGAAATTGTTCAGAATCCCATACAAAAGAAAACCAATGTAAATTTCTATTGTATACTTCTTAAATTTTTAATGGAGGTGATGATCCAATACGTGTGAAATGTACCCATATCGGTAAAGAACAGGTCAAAGCCCTCATCTTCTAATGCTTTTCTTATGGAACTTCCGCTTGCCCCCTTATGTGACATGTCGGTGTAATTTTGAGAATGTTTGGCATAGATAATAATAATACATTATAAGGCTTAAGAATCCAAAGAATAATTCAAGATAAAAAAAGGAAAAAGAAAGAATTTCGTGTCAAACAATAAGTAAGAAATCAAAAAGAAAGGATTTTCTACGGAAGAGAATGTAAACATTATTATCCGTATAGAAAGCAGAACATCAACTCTACTGTTTTGTAGTTAATCTAATTATTTACAATGTATGTTAATTGCACTATTGTTACCGATTTAGAAAAAGAAATTTGATGAGAAATAAATACCTGTGACGTCAAGTTTAATTTCTCGCTGTACCTCCCCCATATTATTCTTTGCGATGCAGAGGTATACACCAGAGTCAGTTTTGTGAAGCGTGATAATTTGAAGTACCCCATCCAGTAAAATGCGGAAGCGAGGTTGTGATCCATCAATCTATAGTTGATCAACAACAAATATTAGAGATGTCCGGTATCATCCAGCCCCTCAATACTTACGAGAAGATTTCCTTTCTTCCAAGTGATGTCCGGATTTGGGTTTCCCCTAACCGAGCATTTAAGAGTAGCATAATCACCCTCGCCAGCCGTTACTTCTGGTTCGAAGGTTTCTTCTTCTATAACCGGGGGATAATCTACAGAACAGAAAATTAGAATAGTTACAGGAAGTCGTCGCTTCAAGACCTATAAAGGGGGATTAACAGAGGTACAGAGACAAATTCTAAAATGGGACATACATCCTGCCTGGATCGGTGATTGGGTGTAAGCTGGTAAGTTGCTGTAACCGGTGGTGACCAATTCAGCAGGAACTTCGAAGCCTGGGGAGTGGGGTGCCAGACAGGAGGTTCCACACCCTGTTGAGCAACACTTCAGGTCTACCGAGCAATCCGCGTCGTCCCTACATTCCTGATCGCACCTGGCGCCTTCTCCACTCAATTGTGGACATGTTCCTTCCTTATTCACTAGGAATAATTAAAAAAAAAAATTTTACAAAAACAACAGAGAATCATTCATTATAAGTGGTACCTGGTCTACAAGTGGGAATAAAGTTTCTGTCGTCTTCTACGGTTCTGTTCACGTTGAGGTCCACGGCACACCTGGTGCCCTCTTCACACTGTACGTCCCTGCAGGGGTCATGACATCTACACCTGCGGCAAGCAGTCTCTTCGTCCACGAACTCTTCCCATCCATACTCGCACAACAGACTCGAGCATTCGTCCGAAAATCTTTGACAGTCGTTGGGGGGTTGGGGTTGGGGTTGTCCCACATTGACATTTGCTATTAATTACAATTGGATTAAACATTATTTTGATTTTGATTTATTAAAAAAAAATGATAAAAAGTTGTAGGTATTAGTACGTACCTAATTTAAAACCTCTGAAAATTTTTATTTATGTACAAATATTTCTTTTACAAATGTTTATATGGTTTTGCAGTCATGTTTCATTACCAGTAAAAGTTTTAAGGACATGCATTAAGAAAAAAGCAAAAAATGAACTACCAATGTGCAGATTGCGTTTAAAAAAAAAATGCAAGTGCAATTATAAAAGCCTATTATAGGAAGCTTGAAAAAATTTGCATTGAAATAATTTGTTTAGTTTAATTTATATTTTTAAGAAATTTATTGCAATAACTTGTAAAATATTATTTGG